AAAAAAAAAATCAACTCCACCCATAAATGAATTTGAATATTTGGTTTCAACACAGTTCTCATTCCCTTTTTTGATCTTACATGCACTTCACTGACACCACCATTTCCAACAGTGGAGATCATGTTAACTCTCCCTGTATCCTGCCAAATGCAAGCAAGCATTGATCAATCATGATTTTCCCATATCACCAGGAGGTCACAACACTTCAGCTTGCAAATCCTCATATCTGAAGGTAGTCCTCTCCCATTGGCACACACTGTACCACATGCTCCGATTTTTTTCAATCTTAGACTTTCGAAAAGTTCTACACTTGAGTAAAAATTGTTTGTACAAACTACATGTCCCTTGCCTTCAAATCCATTTGGCAAGCTGGACACCACCCTTGCTCCCAACACAACTTTACTATCTTAAGATGAACCTTTGCCTATATATACATCAAACTGCAACAGATATCCTGTTGATGAATCACAGAGTGACCAAATCTTTATGCCCCATTTTGTACTTGACTTACTGGGAAGATATTGCTTGAAAAATAGATGCCCCTTGAATTCCAACATGGACTGATTCACACACAATTCCTTATTGCTATTATAGGTGGAAATACATGTATTTTCCACTAAATCTATTATGGGTCTGATTTTTGCAAGCCAACCAGTCTTTGAGGATTCATCATCATTATTAGAAAAATGAAGGAAGGACCTTTAGTTGATGTTCATCCCTTCTAAAAACAGTTTTAAGACCAGGAGTTTGAGTTAACCAATAGGTATCCTGAAAGTATGACTCTAATGTTGGCTTGTGTACCAACCCCATCCCAATTTCAACAGCTACCAGCACCTTAGGTGTTTCCTGTTCTTGTGCATTGACAGCAGCACTCACGGACTTCTGGCGCAAGATTCAAGTGTCTGAGAATATACTCAAACTCCGGAGTAGAGGGAAAAGTTTTCTTTTGAGCTCGTGGAGTAAACTAGAACACTGCAGTAAACTATATCCAACTGTCGCAACAGAAGTGTTAACTTTGTTTTGGATTGATATATATATTTTTTAAGTCATTTTCATTTTCTGGTTTCATTTAGTGGTTACTCTAGAAATTACAATGCATTAGCTTAACTTTTAAATCTAAAATTAATAACTTTACCAACCTCCAAGTCTAGCTAGATATCTTCTGTTTGCCCTCGAGTAGCCACTTCCCTCCCTTTCTCCCTCTGTTCTGTGCCTTAAGAGACTGACGCACATAGATTGATCAATTGGCTCCCTATTCCCTCAACTCCCTGTCGGCTAGGTCACAATGTGTAGGCTGGGACTATATAAGTCCAGGGCTCCTGTCAGTTGGCCTACTCCTTATAGCTACTCTTTTTGGTTCCTACACAAGCTCCCTTTTTTTTTTTCCTTTGGACTCATAGATGCTGGCTCCCCACTGTTAGTTTTCTTAAACGCTGACCACAGTATTGTAAATGGTACTTTCACTAAACCCTTATCAAATCCCTCAGTCTAAGAGTTTGTTGGTTTCTTGCTAGGATCCTGACTGATAAATAGACAATATAAGAACCTAAAATACTCTCTTCCCCTCCAACTTATATGAAATCTTTTATTTATGTTACAATGAGTCAAAGCCAAAGTCTTACTCACACCTATTATATTTTTAATATTTAATTGAGAAACATAATATATAAATAGAGAAAAAATATATAAAATGTAAATGTAGAGTTTAAGTAGTATAAAGCCAATGCTTATATAACTATGACCCAGGTCAAGAAACAAGTGGGAAAAGTGAGACAAGGAAGAAAAGAGTCAACATTAATGTGCAGGTTATCACTGTGAGTAGCAGGGTCTCATTCTTTTTCTTAAAAAAAATAAAATAAATAAATAAATAAATAAATGTGTGTGTGTGTGTGTGTGTGTGTGTGTATTTTTTTAAATTTTATTTTATTGGGGAACAGTGTGTTTTTCCAGGACCCATTAGCGCCCAGTCAAGTAGTTATCTTCAATCTCGTTGTGTAGAGTGAAGCCCCTTTACCCATGTAGGAATCAAACTGGCAACCTTGGTGTTATGAGCCTGCACTCTAACCACCTAAACTAACCGGCCACCCAGGGTCTCATTCTTGCCTGACACTCTGAAAAACCAAGTGGGGAGCCTGGGCATTGATCCTCTGTTGGTTAGGGTTGCCTCTCCTCATGTTAACTCCCTTGTACTTCCGGGTTGTTTCTGTGTACAACCGAACAGTCTCCCATGGTGCTGGGGAGGTACAGCTGCTTGAGAAACTGTTAGTGTGCCAGGAACCACTCACAGCTGCAAATGAGCTCAGAGTACACCCTTTCTAAATTCCCTTTACACTTGGTCAGCATGTCCGCTGGTCTAGGTTGCTCACCTAATAGGGTGGCCCAGGCCTTCATCCCTGAGGGTTCTGATCTCCTAGTAACCATGCTCTTTTTAGGCTATGGTTCCTAATTACCAAAGTAGGAAAGGGGTGAAGAAAAGTGAGGACATTTAATGAAAGTTTCGTGCTGTAAATTTTCTTTTTTGATATTCTTTATTGTTTCACACTCTGACAATATTGAACTTAAAGTGTGTACTTGGGAGCACAGGCTCATCATTTATAGAGGTGTCCCAACATGGTGGCCCCAGAGCCACAGGGGGTTTCCACACCGAGAGGCAAGCCTCTGAGCTCATGTTCTTCAGAGGCAAGGGGAGAAGCCAGCCACCACGATGTTCTCGCCTGTGATGTAGCTGGCATCTGGAGAGCACAGGAAGGACACGAGACCTGCACAGTCCTCTGGACGCCCAATCCTGGATGGAAAAAGAAGGTGGGGCCGAGAGTGATGACACCTCCCCATGAGCCCTCATCTCCTGTGGGATGCTGTGAAGTCAAGACCCCAATGGGGATGAGCGAAGGGCTGCAAGTGAAGATATATGGGTTCTGCAGTGACTTTTACTCATCTCATGGCTCAGATCTCAGGAAGAGGAATGGGTAATAGCCTGCAGAGGGAATGGCATGTGATCTTTTATCTATCATGAAGGTTCTAAGGTTACACTGGTCCAGATCTACAAAGGACACAGCCTCACCCACAACCTACCTCTGTATTTTATAGGCTGTCTTCATCGTTTGCTGAAGGTCTTGATCCTTTATTAGCTAAAGGAAAAGTCAAAGGGTTAGTGCTGCTCATATTGATGGAGTCACACAGGTTCCACATTGTGCAGACTTTTGTGGAGGGGGTTCTGGGGGACACTCTGGGCTGGTCCTATACAGAGGACTGATAAAGCTGCTGATCCTAAAGGCTGTGGACCACAGTGTCAGAACAAGAGTCCACAGGTTTAGGAACAAGAGTCCAGGTCTCTGTGGGGCATGGCCTGGTAGGGGAAGGTACCCTAGTGTTCAGTAAGGCAGGAACAGGAATTGTCATTTGTCCTCACCACTTGGCTGAAGGGTGTGTCAATGAGTCCTGGCACCAGGCAGTTCACCCGGATGTTTTTTGGTGCCAACTCCATTGACAAGGTCTTGGTGAGTCCCAGAATGGCAGTTTTACTGACATTGTAGGCCCCTAGTTTCTGTGAACAAAAAGGGAAGTAGATGGCATATACAGTAACTGGGGAGGAAAATTTCAACTGGATTTCTAAGCCTGTGCCTAGAAATACATCTCTTCAGTAGCAAGTGCAGAGATTAGTGACAATGTCATAAAGAAAGGGTAAAAGGCTGCCATGTGTGTCCTTTCTGGAGAAGGGAGATCTGAGATACTCGTTGATCAAATGTGCATGTAGGTGTGCCCCTCCTAGAAATGGCCTATCTTGGGATCTTCCCGGACCTCTGCTTTTCTTGGCAAATGGGGCTACGTCTTTTCTTTTAATCTACAGCCATAGAAATTCATACTTACAGGTTCTGGGAGGTACACCCCAATGGAGGAAATCAGAACCACAGAGCCTTCCCTAAAAAGAGAACGGTGGGGGTAAATACAGATGGAGCCACATAAAAATGGAGCAAATTCACACTTGTGGGCATGAACAGAAGTGGAGACCTTGGACCACGAAACTGAGAAAAAAGAGTTTAAGTCTAGATTAGAGCCCTCCTCGGCCTTCCTCCAGCCTGTCTCCTCTGTCCTAGAGCATCCTGAGGGCCAGGACCCACTTTGTTTTCATGCCACACTTGGGCACTCAATGTCCATTAAGGAGTACTAATTTGGACACTTTTTTGAAATATAGCCAACATTTTCCTTTATTCTAGACCATTGTTCTCTTTTCTGGATTTGAGGGTGTCTATACCAGGCATGCTTAGGAGTACTATTTGTTTTTTGGGTTTTTTTTGACTGAGCCATCCTGCTACCTGTTGGCAGCTCAGCGGCTGCTCAGCTAGGGCTGGACTCGAACCGCTGTTGCTCAGAGCTCAAACGCTTAGGAGTACTATTAAAAGTACAGTAATACCTTGGTTTGCAAGCATGATTCTTTCTGGAAACCAATTACTAGTATTGAAAGACATTACTTGTTTACCATGTTAAAATGTATTAGAAATGTTTGCTTGTCTCACGGAACACTCACAAACCAAGTTACTTGCAATCCAAGGTGTTACTGTATTTCCCAGTGGATCCTCTGGAATCTCAATCCCAGAAGCTCCACGTTCCCTCACAACCTTGCTCCCAAATCCTCTGGAAGTTTTCCTCAAGGATCCTCAGTGCTTAATCACTTATCAAGTTTAATAACCCTTGTTCAGACCTCACCTCTCTACACTCCAGTTTCCTGTCACACCAAAGACTGTAGACTAAAATTTCCTTTCTGGATCCTGTTTGGTCCTCTTGAGAAATCTGCACTCCTGCCTCTCTTTTTCCTTCTACCTACTCATTCTCTTTCCCCTGGTGCCTTTTCTATCTAGGCCTGTGAATCAAGATGCCTTCTTTGTCCCTCAGGTGTTTTCTCTTAATGCTCTCTTTGAATTTAGAAAGAAGATAAACTATGTCTAAAATAATTATAACAAACAATCATATGATTTTCACCCTTGCTTCCTGAATATAGACAAAATTCCTATCACAATATTCAAGGCTGTCCCTAATTTAGCAACATCCTGCTTGTCCAGCCTTGTCTCTAACCTCTTCCCTACATTCACTCATAGTTTTTTTTTTCCAAGATTTTTATTGGGGAATTGGGGGATGGGAACAGCGCTGGGGAATTGGGGGAAGGGGAACAGACAAGTTGCTGTCCTTTTTTTCTTCAGTCTAGTTGTGGAGGACGTTGCTTCACTGATCCAAGTTGGCACCATCATTGCACTCTTCCCGGGCGAGGCAGATTAGTCGCCGGCTTCTGGACGGCCGCTTACTGCGGCTGCTGGCCGCTCATGCTGGCTGCTGGCTACACACGGTAGCCCATGGCAACCCACTGCAGCAGGGGACTGCAGCCTACGCCGTCACTGGCGACTCACAGCAGCCCAGCTCCAGGTTGAGCTGTTGTTCAGCATCTTAGCTGTAGAGGGCAGTGTCACTGGCCCTCATATGTGGGATCCGAACAGGGGCCCTCTGACGTCCCAAGCCAGCTCTTAACCAACGCGCCACTCGGCCGGCCCCATTCACCCATAGTTTTATAGGTTGTTGTGTGCAACACACACAGAGAAGGAATTATGGTGGAAGATGAGGGAGGACATGGCTGGTCCAAGACTTAAGAAGTGTGAGAGATAAGAGTTGAGTGTGACTGAGAAACTCCACTACACTTGTTATGGGAAGGCTGCAGGGTACCTCAGGTTCATCAACCTGGACTTTTGTACCCTGACTTGCTGCAGCCCAAGAGAGGCCACTTCTAGTTCCCCAATTCCAGGACAGTTGTGGGAACTCCGGGACTTCCTGTCATGAGGATACCACTTCTCTCTTCCATTAGAGTCCCTGCCTTATTTCTGGGTGCTCTAGAAACTGGGGAATACTGTAAGAAGATAATTTTTTTCTCTTTGGTGATCTAGAAATATGAAGTCAAACTTTCACTATCCTAGAGGGATCACTTGCATTTCTCTGATTCCAGGACAGCTGTGGGGCCTCTGGGCCTTTCTGGCTGTAGATCCCTGTCCTTCTTCCAGTAGAGTCCTCCCCAGACTCCCTGGGAAGTCTAGATATGTGAGAATGACATTAATGGGTAGAATTCTTTTGTTTGTTTAGCTGACTCAGAGTCTGAAAGTCAAACTCACTTCTCTTAGATTATTGGCTCAACAGAGCCTGTTGCCCAGAGGGAAGGTCTAACTCAACACCTCGCCCCTCTCACTCTAGCTCTTCTGCTCCATATTTGACACCAAATGTCTTCCTCCCTACCCCTTCCCTACCCTTACCCCCTGCTTTCCATGTAGGGCAGCAGCTGGCTCAGAAGCAGGGCTGGGGCCTTCACGTTCACGCTCAGGATCTGAAATCAGAGCAAATGAGGGTGGGGGAGGGGAGAATTCAGTCCAGTGCCTGTTCTCACTAAATTAACAAATATACCAAATTAGAACGTGGCATGATGGCTTCTGACAATAGGAAGTGGGGAGAGTGCTGGTTTTCTTTGACATATATGGTGGGGAGGCATCCTGAAGATGCAGGAATATGAGGATCAGGCTGACTCTGTAGGCAGAAGACCCCAGAGTCTGCAAGATGTCACCCCATTTCTCCAAGGGTACTAGTTGCAAAAGGATGTTCCATCCAGATCTGAAGAGGCATCAACCAGCTGAATCTGGGGAAGACTGGTGTTATTGGGTTGTCGGAAAAGTCATGATGCATTTTTGCAACGAAAAACAGAAAAAATGTATCATGACTTTTCCGACAACCCAATATAATCTAAATTGTTTACCCCCCAAATTTCTATATCAAAACCCTAATACCTAGCACCTCAGAATTAGACCTTATTTGGAAATAAGGTCATTGCAGATGTAGTTAAGTTGAGATCATAGGATGGGCCCTAATTCAAAATAAATAATGTCCTAAAAAAAGGGGAAGTTTTAGTTTCCTCCCCAGTTACTGTATATGCCATCTACTTCCCTTTCTGTTCACAGAAACTAGGGGCCTACAATGTCAGTAAAACGGCCATTCTGGGACTCACCAAGACCTTGTCATTGGAGTTGGCACCAAAAAACATCCGGGTGAACTGCCTGGTGCCAGGACTCATTGACACACCCTTCAGCCAAGTGGTGAGGACAAATGACAATTCCTGTTCCTGCCTTACTGAACAC